TTTTTTAATTAATTAATTAATTAATTACTTTCAAGGTAATTAATTTTTGCTGTATTAGTTTAAATTTACAAGTTGTTTGCATATTGAACATAAGCAGCAATATTCAGGTGTGTTGGTAATGTTAAACACATAGGCTGTACCCAGTCAGTTTATGTGGCAGCGGGTTAAGTATACAAATCCTATAAAGGCGGTCGAGATATCGTTGAAGACATGCCTCTTTCTGAACAAACTTCTACCCTTCAGCTGATGAAGATATTAAAACAGTGGTATTCTTCACTTGAAAATCGTCAAGCAAATATTAGAGAGATACCGTATTCACAAGATTTGGTTTCGTGAGTTTTTTCTTGTTCCCCAAACTGAAATTGAAGCTCCGTGGTACCCGTTTTTAGTCGACTGAAGGGAAACAAGCAAACAAAATTCGGTGAAGTAGATGAAGACCATCCCTAAAGTGCTTATGAAAAGTCCTTCGAGGATTGGAAAAACGTTTACATAAGTGTATTACATCTGGTGGGGATTACTTTGAAGGTGACAAAAAAAATTTTGCTGAATGATTAAATATTTTGTGTTTAAATTAAAATTTGGGGTTTTTTTTTGTCACAATATATGTTATCTCAGCTTTTCAAATAATTCTCATGCTAAATTTAAAAAAAAAAAATGTAGTTTATTAATACCAATTGCTAATCCAACTGTGTCGCCTCGTAATACAATGAGAAAAATAGTAAAAATCTGGCATCTCTGCCAAACAGTAACATTAGAAATCTAACATTTGTTCAGCAATATGAAAAGCAGAGTTGTAATATTTCGTTCCGCCTAATCCGTGAGGGGAGATAGTTATATAGTTTTTACATATAACTTTCATTTGCCCAATTCCCTTAGTGGACTTCCTTCAGTCTGTCAGCCTTTATAACCCACTTGCACACATACATACATACACAAATACATATATATGAGTGTACAGGTGCTTGTGTAAGTGTGTATGGGTCTATGTCGTTTACTGCTGCCAATTGCAGTTTGGCACGCTACCCCCAACAAACAGTCGCTCACTGTCGTTGCCCCTGCCGCTTCTAACCTTTGCTGCTGTTTTTTACCTATTTTCGCTAGTTTTGACTTATCCTTTTCGGTTACTTCTTCATGCACTTGTAAGCATGTACCTTTGTATATAATATTTTAGTGGTCCATATTATGTCTTTTGGGTGAGAAATTTTGTTTTGCTTATTTTTTACCTTTTATTGATCCGCTAGAGTTGTTGTGTCCCGGCGATTGTACGTTGCTTTGCCCTAAATTGTTCGCGTGTGCTTCCAGCTTGCATGTAACACTGCTCCACATGTCAAACATACGTTGCGTATACATTATAGTAATTTGTTGTTATTGTTGTTGGCAATGTTGCACGTCGTTTTAGTTGTGTTGAATGTTTGTTTGCTGTCTATCAAATGAATGTTTGTATGCGTGGGTATGTGTTTATGTGTTTACTTGTAATATTTTGTTGTTGTTGTTATTATTATATACTTTATTGTTTTTGTCATTACGAAACTTTCAGCTTCAATAGCTTGGCGTACACTAAGTAACCGTTTGATGTTGTTGTTATTATTGTTGCAGGTGTGTTGGTATGTGCGCGAAGCTTTAATGTTTTTGCCAACTAGCTGCAGTACACACAGACAGACAAACAGGTAACTGCAAGCAACTTTTATGCCTGCTATATGTGTGTATGCTTGTTTGTGTATGTGTGTTATATTTTATTTTGTTATTATTTATTTATTGTTTTTGTTGTGGTTTGCTGCTACGCAGTTTATTTTTATTTTTTTAATGAATATGTGTACACCGTTACTGTTGTTGTTGCTTGTTGCCGCTTCCGTTTTTTTGCAAGTTTTCTGTCGCGTTTTTTAATTTTCCTTTATAGTTTGTGGGAATTGTATTAATTAACTTGGCTTTTAATTATTTAATTTGAAAATTTTGCGCAGTGTGAGATTTTTGCACTCGAACAATTTGCGTTTCTCAAAAGCTTTCGTCCTCGTCTACGTGCCGCAGGCATTGTAGTCGCGCACATTTCGATAAATTGTTTTTGTTGTAATTTTTTTAATTAGGAAAACCGTGCCACAAATAATATGTTTTGCTTAATTATTTGCTTTTTTGTTGCAAAGAATTTTTTTCGAAGTATTTTTTGACGAAATTTTTTATATTTTCGCTCACCTGTGCAATTTTACTCGCAAGTAATTAACAATAATTAAGTTTTAATAATTTTTTTAAAAATGTTGCATTACATTTTTTAATTGTCAGCATTTGTTTTACAACTACTTTTATACAAAAACTTTAACGGCTATGACTATGCTATGCTATGTTATGTATGTATACTTTGAATAAGTTTGTTTAATATATTTGTAATATTGTTATATTAATTTTTTGCCAGG